TATCCTTTTGTCCTGTCATTTCCCATAGCTCTTCATTTCTTATTCTATCCTGCCACTTAATTCTTAGGACACTCCTCATGCATCTGTTGATGAAAGTCTGGACATTATTCAGCACTGTCTTCGTTGTCTTCCAAGTTTCGCAGCCGTAGAGGAGCACAGACTTGACTTTGGGATTTAAGAGTCGAATCTTGGTGTGCAGTGAGATGTTGCTAGCTTTCCAGGCTTTTGATAATTGTTTGAAGGCTGACCTTGCCTTGGCGGTTCTTGCTTTTACCTCTGCCTCGCAGTTCCACCTTTACCATCGATGACACTTCCGAGGTAAGTAAAGGAGTCCACATCTTCTAGGGGAGTGTCTTCCACTGTCACAGCAGGGCTTGGCACTTTTCCTAGCTTCACTTCTTTCGACTTGCCGGGTGTATACGTAGGCCAACACTCCTTGATAGGCTGTTGAGTTCCTTGGTCTTTTCTTGCATCTGAGCATATGTGTGAGAGAGCAAAGCAAGGTCATCGGCGAAGTCCAAGTCGTCCAGCTGCTGCCAAGGGATCCACTGTATTCCATTTCGCTTGCCTCTGGTGGCTTCCTTCATGATCCAGTCAATTGCAAGTATGAAGAGAAAAGGTGAGAGTAGGCATCCTTGTCGCACTCATGTCTGTACCTGGAATGGTTCTGAGAGTTGTCCTTCGTGGAAGACTTGGCATTTTGTTCCATCATAGGTGGTCTTCACAAGCTTTACGATTTTGTCAGGTATTCCATAATGCCGCATGGGTTTCCACAGAGTTTCCATGTCCACGCAGTCAAAGGCCTTTTTATAATCAATGAAGTTGACCACTAGTGGTGAGTTCCATTCAAGCGATTGCTCTACAATGATGCGCAGGGTAGCAATCTGGTCCACACATGATCGGTTCTTGCGGAATCCTGCCTGGTTTCCTCTGAGCTTCTCATCTGTTGCCAGCTTGATTCTCTCCAGGAGTATCCTGTTAAAGACTTTCCCAGGTATGGACAGGAGTATTATTTATGCCTCTGTAGTTGTTACACTTGCTGAGGTCTCATTTCTTTGGCAGCTTGATTAGGTGGCCATCTTTCCAGTCTGATGGTATTTCCTCTTTTTGCCAAACCTTTTCGAATAGAGCTTAGAGAATTTCCACTGATGTGTCTTTATCTGCCTTTAAGGGCTTCTGGTGATATATGGTCCGGATCAACTGTCTTGTGGGACTTCAGTGCTGTAATAGCTGCTATTGGGAGGTCATTTCTGGCTGGAAGAATTTCTTCTAGTTGGTTTTCTGGAGGTGGTCTGTTCAATAGTTGATCAAAGTGTTCCCTCCATCGGTTAAGTTGCCCCTTTGGGTTGAAGATAATCTTTCTCTCTTTGTCTTTCACTGGTAGAGTGGGCTTGCTGAACCTACCTGAAAGAGTCTTTGTTACAACTGATGTACAATCCGCAAGTGCCCGTCTGTTGCTGCTTTCTCTGCCTTTTCGGCCAGGTCATTCAGGTAGGTATTCTTGTCCTTCTTGATGGAATTCTTCACCTCCCGGTTTACTTCTGTGTACTCTTGTTGTGCAGCGAGTTTGTCAGTTCGGGTACGGAAGTTGTTGACTTGGGCTTTCAGCTTTCTTCTTCTTTTGATTTTGTGTAGAGAGTCCTGTGAAATCCATTTATTCCTGGTGTTGACTCTGGGTCCTAGGATGCTCTGGCAGGTTGCATTTACTGCCTCTTTTATCTTGTCCCAGTGTTCGTTTACTTCACAGTTATCAAGATCTTGAAGGGCTTGAAATCTGTTCTTCAGTCCCAACTTGAATTCATTCTTCTTTACTGGATCTTTCAGAAGGCTCACTTCATACTTTTGGTGACTTCCAGTTGTGATTTGTGCATACCTTCTCAGTTTCAGTTTCATCTTTCCAAGGATCAAATGGTGGTCTGAAGCGACGTCTGCTCCTTATAAGACTCGGACGTCCTCCAGTGAGCGTCTAAACTTTCGGGGAAATGCATAAATCTGGTTTTTCGTCGTTCCATCCGGGGAGACCCAAGTGGCCTTTTGAATTATTTTATGTGGGAAGATTGTTCCTCCAATAACCAAGTTGTTGAATGCACAGAAGTTTTGGAATCTTTCTCTGTTGTCATTTGCCTCTCCTACTCCTAATTCATGTCTGCCCATGATTTACTCACAGTGACGATTGTCCGAACCTACCTTTGCATTTAGGTCTCCCATGACAATGTTGATGTTCTTACCTGGAAGTTTGTCGATCACACTCTGCAGGCGGTTGTTGAAGTCATCTTTACTCTCTACTTCTGCATCATTGGTTGGGGCATACACTTGTATGATGTTCATGTTTATGACCTTCTTCCTACCATCTCTTTCCTTGAGTTCTTTTTTAGTTCCAAATGAGGCCATGATGATTCTTGGACCGTGCACTTCCCAACCCCTAAATGTCCTTTGCGCAGTTTTGGCTATGATCGTCCCCACTCCTTCCCTGTGTGGTCCATCACTGTCATTTCCTGAACAAATGAAAAGCTCCCCCTCTTTCATTCGCTTCTGTCCAGACTGGTTCAAGTGGGTCTCGCTGATTCCCAATATGTGTAGGTGGTATCGGTGCATTTCTTGGAGGACCTGTGTAGTTTTTACAGCCTCAAAAAGGGTCCTAACGTTCCACGATCCAATCCGGGGAGACTTGGACTTGGATGATGGTGGAGGCTACTGCCCAGCAGCTTCCTTTCGGCTTTCACTGTTTCGCATCATAAACTCTCCGTTCGGAGAAAATCCACGACCAGCCAAGCAGAGATAAAGGTTTTTGCTTGTATGTGTTTCAGTAACAAGTTCTTTTTACGGGAGAGGTTGTTAGTGTTAGCCTCGTGACTCAATCCCCGACCTGGAGGCAGGGGCAGGATGACTCTGTTTTGGGAGTTACTACCTGGTTTCCCATTTAGTCGCCTCCTACGACACGCTAGGACCACGTCAGTCCTATTCTTTTCAATGCCGGGACTGCACGGCTGAGGCCCACATGTACTTAAAATAAAATACATTTCTACTTTACCCCCCCCCCCCTTCCACCTTCTTTTAGATCTTCACCATTACGCGAAGGAGATCTAAAAGCTCCATTCCGAAGCGGCGATTTTTCTTCATTTTTTCTTTTCACTTCTGCCCGGGCTGATACTAACGCGCAGGATTAAGACCACTCACCTCCCAAATGATCTAAATTGTCTGGATCGGAGCATAAAACACTATTATTGATTAATGAATCCCCCTCTACTCTTCATGTTCCTTTATCTCACAGTAAGCATTTTCACAGTAGGCGGATCGATCCAATATATGAAAATGACAATAGTATCTTGGCACAGAGATCTTATAAAAGATTTATAGCTGCTAGCAGCTTAGAGTTACTGGCACAGTGATCAGCGAGTGGGACCTTCCCAATCAGTTTGACCGAGAAATGGTAGAACCACAGCACATCAGGCATTTCTTCCTATAGCTTTGCATCTCAAAGATAAACACATTAAAGTTGTGTAAAGGAGAAAATAAGACCACCACAAGCCAGGTCTGTTGTTGGGTAACAGTAAACCTTTCTCTCGGAATGGCTCGGTCCCTTGTATATATTTAAAAAGCAAATGTTATCTCTGGCACTGAGAATTGTTTTACAACGGCAGATTTTCCCATTCATATTTTAAAAATAAAAGCACTCCATTTTTGTTTTCTTTCTGATGATCATCTATCCCACAAGACATCAAAGATGAAAGGAAAAGAAAATACTAAAAGAGAGGGCAAAAGAGATAGTACAGCTTTCAATAGAAAGTATAAAGATTAGCAAAAAGAATACTTGAAGCCTGAAGTTACACCTTACACAAATTGTTACACGGTGTTCAGAAAGATCGAAATTTGTGATGTCGGTACCTATAGCCTTGTGGTTAGGCTAACATATCGATAATTATGAGATTGCAGTTTCAGGAGTTCAAGCCTCAGCTCAGTCTGATATTGCGTCCTATGGAAAGGCACTTCACACATATTTCCAATTTGGCTCAGCCATTTCCGAGATGAATGTTTAGTTCAAAGGTCTCACCTCTTACACAATCTAATAATAGTGTTGATAAGGGCATTAACCCTATATCATTTCACCATTTTCACTAGAGAAATACTTATAAAACAGAACAAAGAAGAATACAATTGTCAAACACTTTATTTGACTTAACATTATTTTTTGTCATACCAGAAGCTAGTTCATTCCTAGAAGCTTCACACAAAGTTTCTATTTCAGACTTGTGACACATCCTTACAAAAGAGTACAGAGGTCGCTTTATCTCTTCTTATGCTTTCATTTCGTTACAAAGTCCATGTGCATCTTTGTCATTCTGATTTTTCCTTTAATTTTCTTGCTCAATCCTTGCTTCTCTACTCCTGCTCTCCCCCCCCCCCCCCCTCTCTCTCTCTCTCTCTCTCTCTCCGTCTGTCTCTCTCTCATTCATTCCCCAGGAAGAATTTAGGCTACCAAAAGGCCATGACTTTATGAACATGCTTACATACTCATAATAGCACATGCTCAGATGGCATTCACGAGGTAAACAGGAAGAGAAACGATCTCCCTCTCTCTCATGTTCTCTCATTGTTCCTTTCCTCCCACTATCTCTCGTTCTCCAATCTAACTTTCTCATTAAACTATAACACAGCTTCTGTTTATCACAAACACATACTTTCTTCCCAACAATGCCAGGTATATCAGCCTTTACATGAATATCAAAATTTTTCTCCACTTCTGTTACACAAACACACAACAATCCCAGCAAATCAATCAAGAAATGGGTACACTCTCAGATTATCAAACATCACACATTTTCTCTACTTTCTCTTCTTGAGAACGGTCCTCATACTCTTGCGTTGAGAGTCGATAACTTGTTTCTCTCTGAACACTTCTGCCATCACCTGCTCTTCTTCCTCCTCCGGCACTCTGCTTCGGTAGTCAAGCATCAAGTCGTGTTTCTTCCATGGCTCAGCAGACTATTTACAAAAATGGATATAAAAAAAGACCCAGTCAACTTAATAACCAATCACAATTCATCCCAGATACAGTTCAGTTTTAGTTAAAAACAGTTTTGCTAAAAATGTTAACAGAATTTCTAGGACAGCAGTTATCTCAGTCATTTCAGGGCATAAGCCATTTTTTCCCCCAAATAAAATACACCAAGGTCAATTTATCAACCGAAAAGAGTGAAAAAGTGAACAAAAGATACAGCACTCTGCACAAATGCAAAACCCAATAATATTAGTCTCACCTTACCTGTGCAATTCTTTTTACCTTTAAACCAAAGCATTATCGACCTTTCAAATGAAGGCTCTATCTGTGTTTGCATCTCGTTTCTAGGTTTTTGTCAGGGTCCTAGCTACATAGTCACTAACCACCTTCTCTCCTCTTTTTCACAAACTCAGTTGGGAAACATCCACAAGGCTTTAACACAAAAAATTCTCATTATAACTAGTCGTTAAAAACATGTTTTCAATCTTCTTGTTCTGAGTTTATTGATGCACTAGCAGATTCTATCTCACCTTTTCTTTCCTCCTCATCCTCTTCTCATTGACTTCGAAGGGTTGAACACCCTGTAGATCATGGGCCTCCCACCTACACTCCCACTCTTTGGTAGGTTTCAGCTTCACCTGATGGAACACAAAGACAATTTGTTAAAAGTTAAAAGTGTAAGTATTGTACACCTACATAAACACAAAGAGATTATCTGGCAGGAAGGTTGCTCCCAACCCTGCCTGTCAGGGGCAACCTGGCCACAGTGCGATATTATTTAATAGCTGACAGATAAGAAATATTTAATAGCTGACAGATAAGAAATATTTAATAGCTGACAGATAAGAAATATTTAATAACTGACAGATAAGAAATATTTAATAGCTGACAGATAAGAAATATTTAATAGTTGACAGATAAGAAATATTTAATTAAATACAGGGTGATCCCCAAAAAACCAACCTGTACAACTTTTTTTTCTGAATATCTCACACAAAACATGTAGGCCTACTAGAATGTGGTAATTTGGAACAGACATTATTCATTCAAAAGGAATTTGTTTGACATAAAATTCATAATTATAAAACTTTATTTTGAAAACGAAAACGGCCTTAAGGAAAAACACCCATAAACGCAAGCTGCACCGATTGAAATTCTTTACGGAAAGATACGAATCGTTTGGTTTGCTTTTTTCCCCTTCTTTTCTTTCTAACATTTAACTTTTCCATCCCAGTAACATTTAAACAATATTTCATTTCTCTTATAGAATTAAAAACTGACATTGTTATTCTAGACGTTAGAGCCAGTGCTCTACATGTCCTCCTTTGGATTCGAAACATTTTTTACGCGCTGTTTGTCGTGGCCAAACAAAGGACACGCCAAACCATGAATGCCTAAAACCACACACGCCGTAAACTTTTCATTACAAAGTGTCTTCTAGATATGATAGGGGCAGGGTGAGGTGCCTAATGGACAGCATTTGTAGAGTTTACATGTCCTGAAAGGGGAACAAGGGGTCTGCCACTGAACTAAATGTCATTGAGGAAATATTCACGCTTTTCAGGACGACCTAGGAACCATGAACACATTGCCATAATCTGATTCATGTCAACCTCACGAACATGAAAATGATACTATCATATGTGAAGATCTACCATGAGAAAGCGGACTGTTGGGGTGTTGGAAAGTCCTAGCCGCAGACATCGTCAGCGGACAGACCTATCATATGGGACTTGACTCTATTGAATTCGGTATCCTGGTAGCATTTAAAGGGGTGCAAACTGTGCATTTTCTACCTGAAGTGGTCATTTTTTCTAGGAATTTTCAATTCTGATTCTCTATAGAGATTCAAACTGACGGAACATCTCTACCCATGACATCAAAGAAGGCCTTGAGGGCATCTTAGCTTTCTTGATGTACTTTGAGTGAAACTTACGAAATGTCGGGAATGAAGGGTTGGAGGCAAGGGAATGCTCAATACAAAAAACGCTCTCTGCTCTTTATTTAACTGAACTGTGATCTCAACAGGCAAAAGAAACTTGGGAAAAACAATAGCTGCAAACTTCTGTTGACTTGTCAGACTACTGTAGCTTGCAATATGTTGCAATCGTTGAGACTTTTAGTGGCAGGCCTAATGCGAACTGGTGCTTCATTCTACACAAAAGGGGACAAGGCAAAAAATGGGTCGTTTTCTTTTTCGCTAAATAGAGCAAAACTATAGAGTGGAACTATCTAAAATGAATATCACGCAAATTCCTTTTGGCTGCCAAATATTGTGTTCAAATTTGAAACACAAAGCGACAATGTGAAAGAAAATATTTACAAAAAAAGTTGTACAGTTTTTTGGGGGATCACCCTGTATTTCTCCACTTGAGAATCAAACTCAAGTCTTCTGTGTTTCCCAGGGCCACTTGTATATCAAAGAGAATTAAGACTTATGTGTTTGAAGTTGGATTATCTGAGACTGAAATAAACACAGAGCTTTGGAAGTAATATAATATAGATGGTAGTTTTGCTTTCACATCACATTAACGAAAATGTCTTGCTTCACTTTTCTGTGTTCACTAAGCTCAGAGACAACTCAAACACAAATAATACAGCAATGATGAAGATGATGATGACGATGATGCGAATGGTAATGATGATGATGATATGATGGTGCTGGTACTGATGATGATGATGATGATGATGATGACACCAACCTTGGTAGTATTGAGAGGCACGTCAGCCCCCTTTGGCAGCTGCACGGGCTCCATGTCGAAGCTGAAGGTGCTGTACTCAGGGAGCGCATCACGCAGATAGTACAGCTGGTCATCCAGACGTTTTTCCAGCTTGAGGACTTCGATGGAGAGAACTTTTGGGTTGTACATCTCATACATTACTTCCACTCCTGGAAGAGAAACACATAGCGTGGGTTTGAGTAAAAATAAGCATATCAACTCGATAACAGTTATATAGTTCGCGTGAAGAGTAGCACATTGACTTCCGAATGGTCACTTAGTCTGACCAAAGAGAAGGGCACCAACATGATAACATTTTGTTTGAGAAAAGAGAAGCACAGCTGTACATTCCTTAATGGTGAGAGGAATAAGGCTGAATTAGGCCTGCATGTTGTTACAGTTGCAGGTGTTGACTAAACGTCTTTTGATATGAGTCATCTTGTCCTAAGGGTAAACATTCCAACTCCGTAAAACAACATTCTAGCTACAGAAAAGCCTACGAGAGAAATTCAAAATATAAATGTCTGGAGTAATGTTGACAACCCCTAAAGAGATAGGTTACAGCTGGACAGAAGAAGATGGTGTCTTGATGGTGGCCTATACTCCATTAAAGGATGAGAAAGGCTGATGATGATGATGAAAGAGAAGCCCATCATTTACTGTTTGGAAACGGTGGGACTGACAGACAGAAACAAAAGAGGAAAGAAAAGAAAAAGAAGAAAGAACTACAAGACAGATGCACTTGACAGCCATATAAATTTAAGAGATATAGCATAAAGAACAAAACCCTCAATGATGTTCCCCTTGTTTCTAAAATGCATTATTTTTGTATGCATTTTCTTTTACAATTTAAAAAGTACAAAAGTAAAAAGATACAGTCACCCAAAAAATGCCCTGATCCCTACCTAGGCCATCCACAACATTCCTGAGGACAAAGTATGCCTTGAGCCCGTATTCTCCTCGGTCTATACAAATACCAACAAATCTGTTTTTTTTGGAAGGGGCATAAGCATCGGCAACAGTCACCGCCATTATGCTACCTGCAAAAGGTCAGAGAGAGAAAAAATTCTCAAAACCAATGAATAAGTATATTTGTTTCAAATTTATTATGTCTTCTATTTCAATAACAATACAAAGTCACACTTGACACAAGTACCTGTGAATACACAACCAACATATACTTGAGGACACACGAATAACAGGTGCAGACGAACATACATACAACATAAATCAACTTGAATATCCTCCACACTCTCTCTTCTCTCTCTTGCCCTTTTTAACTCCCAGTGGAGCACAGGCCATCAACAACATTACTCCAGCGAAGCCTGTCCTGAGCATCCTTTTCTATCTGTTTCCATGATGTCCCCGGTTTTTCAATTTCCGCTGATACCGCTCGCCTCCATGTCATCTTAGGTCTTCCCTTCTTACGCTTTCCTTGTGGGTACCATGTTAAGGCCTGCCTGATGATGCTTGTCCGGGGTCTCCTCAGGGTGTGTCCAATCCATTTCCATTTCTTCACCTGAATATCTGCCTTTACTGGCCTTTGGCTTGTTCTCTCCCACAGTTGAGCATTCGTGACTCGATCGTACCACTTGATCCCCACTATCCTTCGTAGGCATCCATTTACGAAGCTCTGCAATTTCTTTGCTGCTGATGCTGTGAGCCTCCATGTCTCTGAACCATACAGAAGAACAGTCTTCACGTTTGTTTTGAAGATCCTCAGTTTGGTGTTCAATCCCAGTCCCTTAGACATCCATAATATATTCCTGAGAATGATGAATGCTGCTCTTGCCTTTTGGATTCTGACCTTGATGTCTTCGTCTGTTCCCCCTGCCTTGTTGATGACACTTCCCAGGTAGGTGAAGGATTCAACATCCGCCAATGGTGCCCCTTGCAGTGTGATAGGAACGTTGGCTGCATTCATTCGTAGAACTTTCGTTTTATCCGTGTGAATATGGAGTCCAACACTACGGGAGAAGGTCCTGAGGCGATCTGTTTTCTGTTGCATCTGGGCTCGACTGTGGGAAAGAAGTGCCAAGTCGTCGGCAAAGTCCAAGTCTTCCAGCTGACTGGAAAGGGTCCACTGTATGCCACTGCGTTGTCCCGATGTTGTCTGTTTCATTATCCAATCCACTGCTAATAAAAAGAGAAAAGGCGATAGCAGGCATCCCTGTCTCACTCCTGTATTCACTTCAAACGAGTCTGTTCGCTGCCCTCCAAGTAAGACACTGCAACTCATTCCCTCATACATCTTCTTGATCAATCTCACGAACTTGTCAGGTATTCCGTAGTGGCGCATGAGCTTCCATATTGAGTCCCTATCTAGGCTGTCAAAAGCTTTCTCGTAGTCAACAAAGTTAACGTACAGGGAAGAGTTCCACTCGGTGGACTGCTCCACTATTATCCTCAAAGTTGCAATCTGATCTGTACATGATCTCTTTTTACGAAATCCTGCCTGCTCCTCTCTTAGTTTTGCATCCACGGCTTCTTTCAGTCTTTCCAGTATGGTACGACTTAAAATCTTCCCCGGAATGGAAAGGAGCATGATTCCTCGGTAGTTTTTACACTCATGCAGGTCTCCTTTCTTAGGTAGTTTCACGAGCAATCCCTCTCTCCAATCCTGTGGAAATTCTTCTCTGTCCCATATCTTGTCAATAATTCCATGGAGAATCCCTGCCGCAGTGTCGATATCCACCTTGAGAACTTCTGGGGGAATTCCATCTGGGCCGGCTGCCTTGCCTTCTTTCTGGTGTCTTATCGCCTCCTTGATCTCCTCTAAACTAGGCTTTTCTTCACTTACCCCCAGATCAATCTCTGCTGGTGGAATGTCAAACTGTTTTTCTGTCCTTGGTCTGTTCAGCAGCTCTTTGAAATGCTCCTTCCAGCGTTCTTTCTGTTCGTCTGGATTTGTGAGAAGCTTTCCCTCTTTATCCTTCACTGGCACATCTGCGTTCTTGTATCTGCCTGCAAGTTTCTTGGTGGTTTCATACAGTCCTCTCATATTTCCTGCCCCTGCTGCTTCCTTTGCCGCGTGCGCTAGGTCATCTACATAGTTTCTCTTGTCTTTCCGTAGACTGACTTTTAACTCCTTCATTGCTTTGGTGTATTCTTCTTGGGCCTTTGCTTTGGCTGCTCTTGTCTTGACTCCTGTTTACCTGATCCTTTTTCTTTTTCCTTTCTTCTATCTTCCTCAAAGTGGTGATCGATATCCAAGGCTTGTGCTCACGTTTCCGTTTCCCCAGTACCTCTTGACACACCGTGGTCCAGCCTTCTTTTATTGCCTCCCATGTTTCTTCCACGCTGCTATCCTCGCCTAGTGTTTCCAACACTTGGAACCTGTTCTTAACTGCTACATTAAACTCCTCTCTTGATGATGGCTCTCTCAGAAATTCCACGTTGTACCGGTACCTATGATTATTGACAATTCCCTGTCTTCGCTTTAGTTTTAGTCGGATGGTTGAAATGAGCAAATGATGGTCCGAAGCTACGTCTGCACCCCTGTAAACTCTAACATCCCTCATTGATCTCCTGAATTTCTTGTTGACACATATGTGGTCAATCTGGTTTTCAGTTTGTTGATCTGGCGACACCCATGTTGATTTGTGTATCTGTTTATGTGGGAAAACAGTCCCTCCTATCATGAGCCCATTTGTTGCACATATTTCTGCAAATAGTTCTCCATTCTCGTTTCTGACTCCAAGTCCGTGTTTCCCCATGATTTCTTCAAAGCCTACAATGTCACTGCCTACCTTAGCGTTGAAGTCTCCCATTAAAATCAAGATGTCCTTCCTTCTAACCTGATCAATAGTATTTTGAAGCATTTTGTAGAAAGTCTCTTTTACATCCTGGTCATTATCATTGGTGGGGGCATATCCCTGGATAACATGAAGGTTGATGCCTTTCTTCTGTGAACGGAATTCAGCTGATATTAGTCGCGGGCCCTCTGCTTTCCATCCTATCAAAGCCCGCTTGGCGTGTGTTGATAACAGAATACCTACTCCTTCTGTATGTGGCGAGTTTTCCTCCAGATGTCCAGAGTAGAGGAACTGTTTCCCCTGAAGCAAGTTGGCACTCCCCTGCATTCGTCCATCTCGTCTCACAGAGACCCAATATGTCCAGTTGGTAGGCCTCCATCTCTCTTGCAACCTGCAGTGCCTTCCCTGCCTCGTACATTGTACGAACATTCCAGGTGCCAAGTCTGGTGGTTTTTCTGGTCGACAGCAGGTTTCTCGGCTTGGTGGCTTCCTTCCGGCTTTCACCACCCTGCGTCATTCTACACTCCCTATTCTCTCCTCTCCTCGTTGATGAAGGTCCTCCATCTTCCAGAACTGGCGGTCGTGTTGTTTTTGCTGTTGATGTTTTTGTAGCTGCTTTTGTTTTATGGGAAAGGGCTGCTAACCCTTTGCCCAACCGACCTTAGTCGCCTTGTACGACATGCGCAGTACGGATACAGTGGTCCTATTCTTTGCTCCCCTGTCTCTTGGACAGGGCCCCGAGAACCACACGGGTGATCCTCCACACACTGAAAGCAAAACAAAAGGTTTTGTGTTCTGACCATGTAACTGGTTTCGTTCAAGTTTTTCAACATGCAAAAAAACAAACAAAAGAAGGGATATATGACTTTATGAGTTCAATTCCAAAATGAGAAATATATCTTATTGAATATTTCCATTTTTCTGAATATCCAGTAGTCTCGCAATCTATTATAATGATGGCAACTAGGATAAAAACAGACACAAAATTTTTTTATATCATGTGCTCACCCTTCTCTTGTCACAGCTTTTATGTTCTCATTAAAGAAAAAAGGAGACGAAAAAAACCCAAAACATTCTTTTAATCAGCTGCTTATCATTGTACCTTCCCAATTTAAATGAGGAGGCGGCAAGCTAATGACTTCACCGAGGTGTTGAAACTACAGTCTGTGTAAAGAATTCTGTTCGAAGGAATGAGCCATTTTTGGAAACATTTAACACTTTAACCTAAAACTTAAAAACTTGTTCTGTAACTTTAATTTTATAAACAAAATAAAATCTTTATTTCAGCCAATGATTCTCTCAAGAAACAGCTCAGGAGAACTAGCTTTAAAATATTACCCTAAAAGTTAACAGTGAACTGCTATTTAAGAAGATATATGAATAGGTAACATTTTCTTGCACTAGTGAATATTGCATACACATATCATACATTAATTTTATTTTTAAATTGTGGCCATTCTGAGAGTTTAACTTACTTAACTCAAGTAGAGTGTTATTGCCTTATTAAAATAAAAATTTTAAGTTTTTGGCTTGTCTTATCTTGCAACAATCCCTCTTTCACAACTCAACATTTATATATCAACAGTAAAGATATAAAGGAAGTAGAAGCATAAACATTTTACACAATGCAGCAAACAGTCCTTCAGAGTTGTAGCCACACTTTACTGGCAGTTTTTTTTGGCAACAAAGACATACCCACATAGAATTCCGGAATATTCATGATGGCCCTTCTCCTCATCATGTCTCTACGCTCAAGTTTCTCCAACACCCTGTCTCTTCTCTCCCAGTCCGGTCGAGGCATGAACTCTGGCATAACATATCTGACAAAGAAGAACATATTTGTGTAAAGAGAAGCATCGACACAATTAAGTTATTTAGTGGGGGAAAGACTAGTAACTAGGACCTACCAATGGCATCTTATAACCATCCGCTTACAGAGAGGAATGACTTCTAAAAAACATTTAAAAATCAATGTAATCCTCGAAACACTGCCATAAAGTAAATTCAATGAAATTGTAAAAACTAAATAACTTATTCATACGCTGCATTAATCTTCAAATAAACTCAAGACCAGTCTATAAACCAAAGCAAAAATTTATATTTGGCAAGAATAAACTGTGAAGTGCAAACATAATAGAACAAATCAAAGCTTGTTTTGAGTAAAACAAAAGCATGGCTAAGATAGTTTCGGTTTTTTTAAACAGCGTTGGGGACCCACTAATTCAACAAACACCAGACATGACTAGGGTTGACAGTATTGATACAGGCTGATTTGTGATGATGTGAGTAAAGAGAAGCAAAAATAGTATTTATGTGCTGTAAAACAGACAGGCAAAAACAACATAAGGAAAGAAAAGAAGGACCTACAATTGGAGACCTGCCACTCTATGAAATCTGTAAATCTCAGGGGGAAAAAAATCAGGATTGGAATAGGTGAAAAAAAAATCGGGATCACCGACAAATCACCAGGGTGACTGCCGAGCCAACTTAAAAATTGTCCGGGGGTGTCCATAAATATATATGTTTATGCACTGTGTGTGTGTGCATGTGTGTGTGTGAGCAAATGTGTTATCATTATTAATTTTTTAAAATCCTGAAGTATAACATCAAGCACTCCTAATCCAAGTGTCTAACCCCCCCCCCCCCCCCCCGCCCCCCCGATAAGTTCAAAAGACCAATTTTAACCAGTGAGCATGAACTCAAGTTGACCCCACCAACGGACAGTCCCCGACACACGCGGAATTCCCACGCTGAAGTCATGTTGCATGATGCGAACCAGTGGTTGAAACCGTTAAATGTCGACGAGTCTTGATGGCGGGCCCGACTAACCAGAATTTGGACAAGGCTTGTTTTGAAAGTGTCAGCACAACTACAAATAATATTGATCATTTATATTACATATTACAATTGAAACAGTTATCAGGACATCATTGGAGAATTTTTAGTGGAAGCAAAAGCGGAAGTAGATCTTAAGAATGTCCCATGCCAGAATGCCAAATGGATACTATTTCGATTAGTCTATAGTTCAGATAACATGTGCAAGCAAAGATCAAACACAACTTGAGGCGAGTCAACTACTAAATCATTGATATTTAGGAAAATAGTGCTCCAAGTTCCTGCTAACAATAAGTCATTCTCACTGACTACGGTTCCCGTCACAGGTACGGATCCCATACCCCGACGGGATGGACTTTGCGGTTTTGTTTCAAAACTTGTGCTTCTGTCACATGTACGGAAACAGACTCCAGTGCTAGTTTTACCACCTTGTTTCATGCAGAGTTTTGCGGAATTTGCGAAGTAACTTTTCAATTTATTGAAGGAGAAAGACAGTCTCCCCAATTGGGGTTGAACTGACCAGAACTGGCACTATGTTTTTCTATACAGCTGATAGTAATTTGACAGTCGCGTCGAAGTAACGTTCGAAGAAGTCGCATGAACAAGAATCACATAAGTTCGCTGTTTTTGATACTTCTGTTCGTTTTACTAGTTCTAGTGACTCAGAATATGATGTGTGTTATGTACCCGAACACAGCCCGACTCTTAGTTTTCGGATTAGATCTAGCACTAGTACTGGTGTTGTTCTAAGCACAACGAAATCACAACTCCATTCCCTACATGTCTCATGTAATTCAGTGTATGGGTCTGAATCAACGAGAGCATAATCTACAGCTGGCTGTCATAATTAGAAGGAAAGCAGTCTACGCCAGCACAATACACTTTACACACAGCTTTCATTACCTGTAATTCCTGGGAGCAGTCACTTCTGTCTCCTGCGAAATATTTTCTGTTCCCGTCTGTAGGGGTGAGTGCCTGTGCTTGTCTACAAGCTCAAAATGAAGGAAATTTTGCTTTCTTCTAATAGCCTTGGCCATTTCAGCCCTTGTCCTTCTATAGTTGATGACATGAGTGGCATTGTGGCTTTTATGAGCCACAGTAAGTTGACATGGAACAACTGCAGAAAGATAACAAAAATAACTCATTATATACAACGAATCACCTCTGCATTCAAAATAAAATGTTACTATTTTTGGTTACGATGTATTATATTGTCAAACAATATACTAGAACTTGTCCAAGAAGGCCATCCGTTGTCGAGAAGAAAAATGGTGGATTCATTGCTTTAGACTTTAGGGGTCAAACTGCAGTAATTTTTGCTGCAGCACATATCCACTAAAACTGTCACGTAAATCAATTCTTTTCAAGAAAATCTCCAACATGATCGTAAAACATCGAATTTTATGTGGAAAAACAGGGAGGCATGCACCCCTTCTTAATCGTAACCCTCAGGTTTACCTTAACTTTCCAAACTTTCTATACCTTGGGGCGGGGGGGGGGGGGGCTGTGCATGTCCTCCAATAGGTCCAAAGCATGGAAATTACGGTGCAATAGTCAATAAGGATTACTGAATAGTGGGATTAAAAACCATCAAGTATTTCAAAAAATATTTATTTGCGACAAATATAGAGTCGATATTTATGAATGAGTGTAGCCGATAGCATCCTGAACAAGAAAAAGGCCCTATTCAATACCTCAGCATGAGACAGTAGTAAAAGTGTAAAGTAATGCCAGAGAGAGAGAGAGAGAGAGAGAGAGAGAGAGGAGAGAGAGAGAGAGAGAGAGAGAGAGAGAGAGAGAGAGAGAGAGAGAGAGACACACACAATGAAAAAAGAAAGCTCAACAGGCTGTACAAGAGCCAGCAAACTACCCTTAGACTACAACTACAAACATATAAAGTTACACTAGATCTAGACCTAGAACACTAAAACAACACAACAACAACAGTTTAACAGTTCAGATTCATTTTTATAAATCAATAAAGTTGGAACTGGTCAAAGATGCTTAAAAATAATCAAGGAAGTACTTCTGTAACAAGCAGCCACCCCAACAAACACAACAAAGAAGAGACTGAACCCTAACTCTACCCCCCTAGACCTCCTAAAACTCTAAATTCTTTAAAAACCCTAACCCTGCCCCTAGCCCAACAAATCCTACCCTATCCCTATCTCCTACCCCTCTGTTCTACTCTGTCTTATAGAGGTGGCTCGTTACGCAAGTCCTCCCATAATTAAACTCAAATCGTAGTAATGGGTGCAGAAGCGAAGGTGGGTTACTTAGTAACTTACTTAGCTTGAAGTCAGTGGTGGTGGGTAGTGAAGGGCTCACGGGCTTGAGCCTCTTCCCCCTCCCCACCCACCATCCCCAACTCTATCCCAAAGTTAATAAAAGTTTCTCAATAAGGAAATAAGCAGTTGAAACTGTTATGACCTCACGCAATGACCACAGAGTGATCAACTTGGCAGCTTGCTCGTTTATCCAATCACTGTTGTCACTGCTTACAACTATAGTAACCTAGCAGCCAATCAAATGTCTTTAGGGCTCAGCTACAAAGGATGAGCCCTTTCTCACAGAACCTTCCTTAATGAAACTCTTCTTGTAAAAAAGATAAGACTTGAAAAAAGAATACTGTACTGAGGGCTCACGCTCTCCTAGCCCTGACAATGAGGTGAAAGTTTACGACACACTTTCCCCCACTGACACAGATACCTAGGTGCTCATTGGTTCTTTGTTAGAGGTGTATTCATTCAAGTTTCTCGACTACACGGCCTAATCCAGCTCCTAGAAGCAATATGTTTGAAGTGCTGGGTGTGCATGTTTGTGCGGCCGAGATTAAACAGTAAATCAGGTCATATTACTCTTTTAAGGCAACTTTTTTATTACATGAAAATTAATTTAGAGGAAATTTGGAGGTGAAACGACTATGTCCCCGCCATCAACAAGAATTTAACTAAGAACAAAGTGATGGAAAATAAAGGTAACTCTTCTCGTTTGAATGGTTCTCAAAATGCCGTGGCTCACCGTGAGTATAAAAAAAACAGCGCTCTGTGGAAATTGCCTTCCCGTTCCATTGGCAGCCATTTGGAAACTGATACTGATGATTAGAACTAATTCGCCATGTAAACGTGAAGATTGCGGTTCTTTTTTAAATTATTATTTTTGCAAGGGGGGCAGGCCTCCCTGAAAACCCTCACTAACAGGGGGGCAAGCCCCCCCCCCTTGTCATGGCTAGTGAAGTGTGCATTTCATTAGTAAACACGGTGGGTGGGTCCACTAATTCAGTCTGGCCAAAATAAATTTTTAATACAAAAAAAAAGCAGAAAAATATTACTACTGTAATGTGGTAGGGTTCACTTAGCCTACATGGCCACTTTTGTCCTTCACACAATCACTTCTGTTTCAAAGAAATTCTTGTCTTATTATAGTAATATAAGATCTAGATTAGATCTAGATCTAGATACTAAGTTATCATGCACATTGTAAACAAACGGGGAGGCAATTTCCAAAGAGCCCCGAAAGACCATCACTGTTTAGTTCTTATTGTTTACTATTTGGTGGTAAAGAAGTGGAAGCAACGTAAGCCCCACCCAAATTTTGGTCCACCCACCGCCACTGCTTGAATTTGAAGTCTGATCGCAGGGCAAACTGGGCTTACTGGTAGAGAGCTGAGAACACAGTGAAGGGTCGGGCGAAACAAGACAGAGAAACCTAGATCTAGATTTAGAATTCTAGAAATAATGGCGTCGGTGGCCTAGTGGTTAGGCTCTCGGACTCGCAACCGTTAGGTCGCGGGTTCGAATCCCGTCAAGGGCCTGAAGTTGTGTCCTTGGGAAAGGCACTTTACACGAATTTTCCTCACTTCACCCACCAGGTGGGAATGGGTACCCGGCTATAGACAGCGAAAGATCTTGAAGGTTTGTTAGTGTTTGTTGAGCGCTTAATCAGCTGCTTGCACTGTATGCTTCTCGGGAAGCTGAGAATGTTTCGGAGTGTTCTATTGTCTATTGTCTGCTGGGGTAATAATATAGTGTAAAGCACATAGCCTGCTGTTGATGAGCGGGGATATAATGCGGGTGATCTTATACTTTAGCACGTTAAATTCCCAAAGTCTACTAATCCCCAACTCAGACCTTCAAAACTTTGAAGTGGGCTTAAAAATGTGCAAACTACCGTAATTTTGTCATGAACAGATCGTATCAGTGGTTTTCGGTCTTCCATCATGATTTTGAAAGCTGGCCATTGAGCGAGTATAATCTTGATGACATAGAATTTTGATCCAGATCTGATAGTGGTCGCTCCTTTCAGAAGTCCTCAATTGAAGAATTTAATGTGCTAAAGTACAGTCAAACCTGTGTAAGACGGCCATCCATTGTCAAGGAGAAAAGTGGCCGTATAAGACAGGTGGCCGTCTTAGGCAGGACTGATCAAGATGAAGAAAACAAACCTTTTCCATCTGTGGTCCCAATCGAAAGTAGCTGCATTGTTGTTGTTTTTGTTGTTGGTTTGTATTTTGTTTGTAGTTTTTATTTTGTTGCTGATTTTGCACAAGGATGACAATAAAACGAAATGTATCAGACGAGGAAGACCGAGTGCCATGTTAAAACAAACACATGGGTCGCCACCACTCGGAGAACGAGCGA